CAGCAACCTCCAACTCCTGGGCTCAAGCAAGTCTCCTGCCTTAGCCTCCCAAGTAACTGGGACCACAGGCGCCTGCCACAAGGCCTGGCTATTTTTTGGTTGCAGCCATCATTGTTGTTTGGCAAGCCCGGGCTGGATTTGAACCCAGCACCTTAGGTGTATGTGGCTGGCGCCTTAGCCACTTGAGCCATAGGTGCCGAGCCTCCTAAACTTTTTAACTGAATTTTTAAACTGAAATTTAATAATTTTTAATTGAGGCTCGGCACCTGTGGCTCAAGCAGCTAAGACGCCAGCCACGTACACCTAAGCTGGTGGGTTTGAATCCAGCCCGGTCCTGCCAAACAACAATGAAGGCTGCAACCAAAAATAGCCCGGTGTTGTGGCCGGTGCCTGTAGTCCCAGCTACTTGGGAGGTAGAGGCAGGAGACTCGCTTGAGCCCAGGAGTTGGAGGTTGCTGTGAGCTGTGATGCCATAGCACTCTACTCAGGGGGACAGCTTGAGGCTCTGTCTCAAAAAAAAAAAAATTTAATTGAATTAAAAACTGAGTTTCTCAGTTATGCTGGTAGCCTGTATCTGGCTAGAGGCTACTGTATTGGACAGCATAGTGTAGAACATTTTCATCTTCATAGAAAGTGCTGGGGGACATCTGAGTAAAGTGTCCAGTGCTTTCTTTTCTTTCTTTTTTCTTTTTTGCAGTTGTGGCCAGGGCTGGGCTTGAACCCACCACTCCTGGAATATGGGCTAGCGCCCTACTCTTTGAGCCACAGGCACCACCCTAAAGACCAGTGCTTTCTAAGAAGCATTGTAGTGTGCCTTTGAGGTTTCTTGATTCCCTCCCATCCACTGGTACATTTGCTATATATGTCAGCATTGACTCCAGAATAGTGAATTTCGGGACTTTCAGTACTTATGAAGAATTGAGTAAGGTTTAATAACTCCTGGCAATGAAAAGTTGGACTAGAGAGTGATGAGGGAGCCTCTTCAGCCCAGAAATCTGCTTGCCACAAACTTGACACCTTTTCCAGACTTTTCCACAAAGCTGTGGATGTTTGATTGTATACCCATTGACAGTCCTGAAAGTCAAGGCTTGAGGTCTTCTGGAGGCCTCTTAGACAGTTCATAGCACAGAGTAAGCAAATAATAAATTTTAGCTGTTTACTAATAAAATGTATCCGTGCTAGCTGGATTTAGTGGCTCATGCCTGTAATCCCAGCACTTGGGAGGCTGTGGTGGTAGATTGCCTGAGCTCACAGGTTTGAGACCAGCCTGAGTCAGAATGAGACCTCATCTCTAAAAATAGCCAGCATTGTGGTGGGCACCTCCCAGCTATTTGGGAGGCTGAGACAAGAGGAACTCTTGAGCCCAAGAGTTTGAGGTTGCTGTGAGTCATGAAGCCATGGAATTCTACCCAGGGTGACAAAGTGAAACTCTTGTCTCAAGAAAAAGAAATTGTCAGTGCTTAGCTCAGAACAGGATTTGTTGAACAAATGTATATGTGAAAAATATGTTTTCCAACTATAGTAGTAATATAAACAATAGCCAACACTTAGATTGTACTTCCTGGGTGCTAGGCATTAGTCTTAGATCTTTACATCTATTCATTCATTCAGTCCTCACAGTAGTCCTAGGTAACAGCAGCACTGGCTTCATGGGTATGCAGTCAATGCAGGCTTTGATCAGTGTGGTCAAAAGGACCAAGTACTCAGAAGTGCCTCTGCTTGAAATTCCTTTTCTTTTTAGAGACAGGATCTTGTTCTGTCACCCAGGCTTGAGGATGTAGTGGCACAATCATTCTTCACCACAGTTTCATACTTCTGGACTCAAGTGCTCTTCCTGCCTCAGCCTCTTAAGTAGCTGGGACTACAATACAAGGTCATCCCCCTGCACCCTGCTAGAGACATTTATGTATGTGTATGTATGTATGTCAGAGTCTTGCTCTATAGCCTAAGCCAGAGTACAGTGGTGTCACCATAACTCACTGCAACTGCAAACTCATGGGCTCAAGTGATCTTCCTATTTCAGCCTCTCAAGTAGCTGGGACTACAGGTGAACACTACCACACTGGGGCAATTTTTCTGGTTTTTTGCAGAGATGGGGCCTCGCTTTTGCTCAGGCTAATCTCAGAATTCCTGGCTTCAAGCAATTCTCCCACCTTACCCTCCCAAGAGTGCTAAGATTACAGCAAGTGCTAGAGGGCTAAGATTATAGGCCTGAGAGCCACCAAGCCTAGAGTTATTTAGAGAAGCAGTGAGGTTATGACTAACGGCATGGGCTCAAGAAGCAAACTATCTTGTTTCAAGACCTGGTTCTACCCCTTCTAAGTAACTTGGTCTATTACATAGGCCAGCTAAATAATTTGTGGGGCCCAGTGCATAATTTGGGGCATGGAGCAAAATGAAGTCATCCTTTACTTCCTGTAGCCTTACTGGATTGCCCTTCCCTGCAGGGATCAGGTGGTTGTGAGTCCCCTGCCTACTTGTTTGCCTAATACACTATGGTACCCATCCTACCCTGACATCCTGAGAGCACAGTCCCAACCCTTCCTGGGCCAGCTGTTGATGAGATCAGGGAGGGGTAAGGAGAGGCCTCAGAGCAGCCTGAGTGGACCCCAGGGGGCTGAGGATCTGTCTTAGGAAGCCAGTGGAAGGTGGAACCACACCTGAACCTGGCTTTAAGGCCTCCATACACACTCCTTTGTCCCACTGGATTTCATTTAAAAAACAAATTCAAAGATAAAATTGTTAAGAATTTCAGGGCTGGGCAGCTCTTGTGGCTCAGTGGGCAGGGTGC